ACCCTTGTCATTTAGTTATCGATGGACAAAGCTTCAAGAAGAGTTTGAAACTTTGAATAGATCACGTATGACTTAGTCATATTTTACTTTTCCCTTTCTTCTCTATATTTAATTTTGAATAACGAATTATTATTGGCATTCTAAAATTCTCATTCTAAACTTTAAATTTTTTATATTTAAAAAGAGAAATACATTTATGAGAGGAATGTAAAAGAAGATTTTTGAAGTATCAATAATACTTTTCTTTTGAATATTGAATTTTGATTAGTATCTAAAGTAATTGAAATACAGGAGCAATTTGACTTGATCAATCCATGTTTTTTATCACCACGACACTGATAACGTGACAGTAATCAATTCCTCTCTCAAAGGATAAGACAAAAGAACCCAAACATCCCTTGACCTGATACCTCTGAACCAAACCTACAACATCCATTTGTAAGCCAACCTGAACCCAACGCTACTTTGGAACATGGGCCTGGTGCGCTAAATGGATCATTGGGTTTTTTTGGAAAATTCGACGGGCAAGAGGCACCAGATCCCTGAAGTATGCAAGTCAAATAAGAAAACAAAGAAAGGAGCTATTAATCCATGCTTTTGTGGCCCAGCTCGGCTTGCCAGAATCCAGAGCGGGTCAAGCCGGGGAAAAAGTTGGCCAGGACCTGGAGGAGGAAAGAAACCAGCTAACCCCTCTTTCTCTACCTTTGGTTGATGAAGGAAACCTAAGGGAGGTGGAAATTGTTGCCTCTGAACAGTTGCAAAATGTTGAAGGGAGAATCAAAGCTTTGGGTGAGGAGGAATGTACCCACCTCCTGGGTTGCGGTGGCTGGCCCCTTGCAGCCACACGGACGTCATGATTCAACTTGCATGGAACTGTCAAATTCTAGGAGAGCCTTGACAGTTTCTACGTTACGAGAGCTGATTCACTCTCATAATCCCTCTATGGTTTTTTTGATGGAGACCAAGCAAAATAGCCATAACATGAATCTGCTGAGAAAAAGTACGGGTTTTCATCGGGGTATCAATGCAGACCCTATTGGTGTGGCTGGTGGTCTAAGCCTATGGTGGAAACCTGATATCAGTGTTGAAGTGCTTTCGACTTCAAAGAATCTTCATGATGTTTCTGTGAATTGTATTTTAGAAGGGTGGGCAGCTGGATGCTTCTTCTTTTATGGCCCTCCTTATGATGAAGAGAAGCCCTGTTTTTGGAATTCAGTGATGCGTATGGGTTTCAAGGGTCCAAGTTTTACATGGGTCAAAAGGGAGGATGGTGACATTGTTCTCCAAGAAAGATTGGATAGAGGTTTGGTGAGTGGTAGCTGGGTGGAAAAGTGGCCAGATACAAATGTCACCCATTGCACCAGAGTCCGATCACTGCCCTCTTATTTTGGATACTCTCTCACGTTCAGAAAAAACCTAAAAAACTTTCAAATTTGAAGCTCAATGGTTATCTGATGCAGAATGTGAGGAGATTACTGTTTCTAGTTGGGATGAAGGAACTGGACACTCTAATCTGAACAAGTGGAGTTCATGTTTACATCATTGTAGACGAAACTTGACGAAGTGAAGCAAGGAAAAGTTCAAAAACAGAACCCAAATCAACACTCTCTTGGGAGAGTTGGATGAGATGCCATGTAATCAGAATATCTGTTTGGTCAGGGAGTTGGAGATTATTTCTCGACTCAGTGCTCTTTGGAAAACAAATTCTTTTGTTCCTGACAGACAAATTCAAGATAACATCCTTATAGCCCATGAAGTTTTTCACTACCGGAGATTAAAAAGGAGGAGCAATTGTTTTGAGTTGGGGTTGAAGCTCGACATGAATAAGGCATACGACCGGGTTGAATGGGATTTTGTCGAGGAAAATTTGATGAGAATGGGGTTTAAGCCAAGATGGATGGGGCTGGTGATGAGTTGTATTACAACGGCTTCGTTGTCTTTAGTGATTAATGGCTTTAATCCCACAAGAGGGTTGAGACAAGGGGATCCCCTCTTCCCTTATCTCTTCCTACTTGTAAGTGAAGTGCTATCAAGGAGTGTAACTTATGCTACTAACAATTGTTTATTGCAGGGAATCAACTTAAGCAGAAGTGGTCCTCTAATCTCTCATATTTTATTCGCCGATGACTCATTATTTTTCTAAGAAACTCGGCAAAATAGACCCGTGACTTCGGAAGAAGAATTCCTCAACGCATTCTTGTGCGAAATGCGGGAGAACGGGTCTAAGGCATCCGAGGAGAAAACTTGAACACCATAGATTATCGTAAATATTCTTCCACCGACCGATAATTCTGAAATTTCCCCCTCAACAGACATGTCCACCACCATCCCCTTAGCAACAGTCTCTACCTCCACCTTTCTAAAGCCTTGTTCAATGCACGATTATAAACTTGCCCTTATGTTTCATCCTAAAACTAAATGGTTCTTTTAATTACAATAATTTTGCACAATGAACTTATAGCTCAAGTACAAAGATAAACGTTACTAATTATTTAAACTACAAATTCCTTGCGTTCTAAGTGTAGTCTTTAAACTACATTATAAAAGAAGAAAAAGAGGTTTGAACACAGGACGCTGTGAGTTGAGAAAAATATCTTATGAAAACATTCCACCACCCACAACCTTCAATGTTTTTATTTTACAATAAACTTGACTCAACTCGAAAAAGAATTTATTTGCCTAAATCATGCCTAACTACCACATTTATTTAACAACTAAACAAAATCACGGAGAGGAGATCACCCTGATATTATGTAATTGGCCCTCATCATGAAAATTGACGATAATAGTAATGAACGAAGTTTAAACTGTATAAGACTGGTGATGGCATCATTATGCGTTTAATGAAGCAGTTAAATAAAGACAAATCAAGCCATGTTCTAACAAAGTCCACCATCAATTATTCAATTCATCACATCTTCTATTAAATTATGTCGACATATCATCACGTAATTTTTCCATCTTAAAATGAAAAACGACTTATATGGCATAAGTACAACGTCGTTGTAACACCATGTGCTAATGAAATAAGACATATAAATAAACCTTACACATAATGTTTATTTCATTAGCATAAAACGTCACCACAATAGTATAACCTTATCAGTTAATTCCTTGGCACAACAAAGTATTGACTCCTGACGGCTGGACCAACACATTTAGTTTCTTCACCTTGGCACAAGAAAGTATTGACTCCTGATGGCTGGACCAACCCTTACGACTCTCAATCTCACACACGATAAATCTCATTCAAGCTCATTCCCCTACATTTCGGTAACCCTCACCCCCCACTTGGTCCCATCCTTTTGTGTCTTGGCCGGGCAGGCCACAGCTCTTGACCTAATTTATCCCTTCTAATCTATTTATTTTAAAAGAAAGAGAATTATTATTAGCACTTCAAAAATCTCATTCTACACTCCTCAAAAGTGTATTTTTTTTTCCAACTATAGAAAGTTTGAAGTGCTAAATGAGATTTTTGGAGTGCTAATAACAATTCCCCAAAAAAATTTTGAAATTGATAAGTTTTCTTAATGTGTAATTCATAATTCTATTCCTAGGTGTCATAATTTTATAATTTCTCCTTTCAGGCTTGTCTTTAATTTAGTAGGTTATTCATTCTAGTCTAATCATGTGTATTGAAAGAGCCCATCGCGAGAATCGGGGACAAAGGTAGGAGTTATTTTTTTTCTTTAAAAAGGAGACCAGCAAGTGGTTTCACCACTACAGTCCACTGCCGAGAAGACTCATAGAACCAGTTTAGCCTCTCGCTGGCCACCATTGTGTGATTCACTAAGGCCAGGAATTGAACTCAAGACATGCCGTGTGGATTACGTTCCTAGCTAGAATTCGTCCCAACCACTGGATCATCCTGTGATGGTTCAAAGGTAGGAGTTCGGAAGGGCAAAACAAAAGTATAAAAATATTAGGAAAACTAACGAAAAATCCTAAAAAATTTTAGTTGTAATGAAAATGACAAAATAAAAGTGTAAGTGAATAGTACAAAGAATGATTTTTTAAGATAAAAATGTCATTTTAGTTAAAAATAAACAATACCAGACGCGTTTCATTAAAATTCTCAAAAATATTTCCTTAACTAGTTGATTACTTTGTGAATTTGAAATTTTCTTTTTGGTGATAAAGTTTTATTGTTTTTTTATTCATATTCCACCTAAAGCTGGATTAGGATAAAACCCTTAACTGTTTACTGCAACACTGTGCGCATCAAGCACCACGTGACATGGACTGTAGCCTAGTAAGAGAGAGTCAAAGTCCAAGAGAGAGCTCTAGCGGCCGTTACGCATCTCTATTCTCTAATCTGCTGCCATGGTTTTGTTTCCTCATTAATCCATTTGTTAATTTGCTCTCTATTCTTTGCTCTGGAGATTTTAGTGTTCATGGATAATCTTCCTACCTGCTATTTCTGATCATTTGTAAGTTTCTCTATGTGAAATTCAATCACTTCTGCAATTTTTTTAGTGTGTGTTTTCACATATTTTAACGGAAACTACTCAATAGGTTTGAATTTTTTTAGAAACGATTGTTGTTGTATAATATATCCAAACCAATCTTGATCAGACAATGCCAATCGATTGCGTTACTTAATTTGATGGTAGAGATAAGTCTGGCGTTTAATTAAGAAGATTGACATTGGATTCTTATTTCTTAACTTTGAGTCTAGCTAGACTGAGGTAACAGTGTTTTTGGTTTATAAAAACATTTTGAATAACTGTCGGGAGAAGCATTCACTAAGCCTTCTATGTGCATTTTCATGAAGCACTAAGATATTTTCTTCGTACAATCTGCTTTTGACTACCTAAAAACTTAAAATGTTGGGTTGTAGAAATGCTTTCTAGAGTAACACTTGAATTTTTCTATAAAAATTCGACATATTTCTTGTAGAGTCACTTCTAGCACAAACATTTATGAGTATAATCATTCCTACATAAGTATTCTTAAAAAAAAACGTTTATGAGCAAAAATGCTTTATATGAAGGCACTCCTAGACTCGTCCTAAGTAAAGCGTTTTCGGATCTGCATTTTAAAATATTGTGTCAGGCATATAACATGTTTGTATTGGTATGGTACTAATGGTCTTATGGCCTAATTTATTTCATTGTGTTTTTGAATATTCGGTTCAGCGGTTGCAGAAGAATAACCAACTGAGAGGGCTATAAACATGGAATCTGAAGGTACGCCATATGCACCAAAGAACATCCTCATAACAGGAGCAGCAGGATTCATAGGCAGCCACGTGACCAATCGCCTAATAAAAAACTATCCCAGCTACAAAATCGTTGCTCTTGACAAGATAGACTACTGCTCTAGCTTCAAGAACCTCAGGCCTTGTCGTTCCTCCCCGAATTTCAAGTTTGTCAAGGGAGACATTGCCTGTGCTGATCTCATAAACCATCTCCTGATTGCCGATGAGATCGACACCATAATGCACTTCGCCGCACAAACCCACGTGGACAATTCGTTCGGAAACTCGTTCGAGTTCACCAACAACAATGTCTACGGCACTCACGTCCTCCTCGAAGCATGCAAGGTCACGCAGCGAGTGAAACGCTTCATTCATGTGAGTACTGATGAAGTTTATGGAGAGACGGATATGGAGACCAATATTGGAAACCCTGAGGCCTCTCAGCTCCTCCCTACAAACCCTTACTCAGCCACAAAAGCTGGGGCTGAAATGTTGGTCATGGCATACCACAGATCCTATGGATTGCCAACAATAACAACTAGAAGCAACAATGTGTACGGACCCCACCAGTATCCAGAAAAGCTTATCCCAAAATTTAGCCTTCTTGCAATGAAAGGTGAGAAATTACCAATCCATGGGAATGGATCAAATGTGAGAAGCTATTTGTATTGTGATGACGTGGCTGAGGCATTTGATGTGATACTTCACAAGGGAGTGATAGGACATGTTTACAACATTGGCACCAAAAAAGAGAGGTCAGTTTTGAACGTGGCAGAAGATATTTGCAAAATGATTGGTTTGAATTCAAAGGAAGCTATAACTTTTGTGCATGATAGGCCTTTCAATGACCAAAGGTACTTTTTGGATGATCAAAAATTGAAAAAGCTAGGGTGGGATGTGAGGACTAGTTGGGAGGAAGGGCTCAAGCTGACGACACAATGGTACACGAAGCACGCGGATTGGTGGGGTGATGTGTCTGCTGCACTTCACCCACACCCGAGTTTCGCAGTGATTAGCCGACCGAATGATGATTCTTGGTTCTTCGAATATGGGTTCACAAGGCTGTCGAGAACATGCAGTGAGGGTAGCAATAGTTCTGAATTGAAGTTTTTGATATATGGAAGGACTGGATGGATTGGAGGGTTCTTGGGGAAGCTTTGTAAGGGTGAAGGAATTGAATTTGAGTATGGGAAGGGACGACTTGAGGATAGGAAGTCTCTGCTGGAGGACATCACAAGAGTACAACCAACCCATGTGTTCAATGCTGCTGGAGTTACAGGTCGGCCGAACGTTGATTGGTGCGAATCTCACAAGGCGCTAACAATTCGGACTAATGTAGTTGGCACGCTTAATTTGGCTGATGTTTGCAAGGATCAAGGTCTGTTGATGATGAATTTTGCGACCGGATGCATTTTTGAGTATGACAAGGAGCATCCCCTAGGATCTGGTATTGGATTCAAGGAGGAGGACTACCCTAATTTCACCGGTTCCTTCTATTCGAAGACCAAAGCCATGGTAACACAATTTTCAACTTTTTTCGTTGATTTTTATTCAAAAAGTCATGGTATATATGCTACATTACCAAATGTTCAATTTATTTTTTTTAAAATCATGTGCACTTCTACTGGTTGTGGAGCCCTGTGGTGCAAGAAATTTAATACTGAAATTAGTCTTTAAATGTCAAATTATTTGCAGGTGGAGGAGCTGTTGAAGGAATATGACAATGTGTGCACCCTCAGAGTGAGAATGCCAATATCATCAGACCTCAGCAACCCTAGAAACTTCATCACAAAGATAGCACGCTACGACAAGGTTGTGAACATTCCCAACAGCATGACAGTCCTCGATGAGCTCCTACCGATCTCCATAGAGATGGCTCGGAGGAACTGCAGAGGAATATGGAACTTCACCAACCCAGGAGTCATATGCCACAACGAGATCCTAGAGATGTATAGGGATTACATTGATCCAAAGTTCAAGTGGCAAAATTTTGACCTAGAAGAACAGGCCAAGTTGATTGTCGCGCCAAGGAGCAACAATGAATTGGATGCTTCAAAGCTGAAGAAAGAGTTCCCCGAATTGCTTTCGATCAAAGACTCAATCATAAAATATGTCTTTGAGCCCATCAAGAAGAATTGAACAGCATTTGGTCGTGTTAGAGACGAGGTGTGTAGATTTCTTATATTTACTTTTTCATCTTCATATTTTTCTTTCATTTACTTGATAGAATTTTTCGTAAACGAGAGCCATAAACTATTAAATCTTTCAAGTTTACGAAGACAAGAGTTCAATTTAATTTGCTGTCTATTTTATATTTTAAAATTTTTATTATTATTAAGGGGAGGGGGCTTCGAAACTACCATAAACTATTAAGTCTTTCAAGTTTACAAAGCCAGGAGTTCGATTTAATTTGCTGTTTATTTTCTATTTAAATTTTTTTATTATTATTAAGGGGAGGGGGTACCGAAACTATTAATGTAATCAGTGTATTATTGTCACATCCCGGTTCAGACCTCCACCACATCTCGGGCTTCCACCACATTCGGGCTTGACTCTACCGTAGCACGATATTGTCCTATTTGGGCTCCGACCACGCCCTCACAATTTTGTTTCTGGGAACTCAAACGAGAACTTCCTAGTGAGTCACCCATCCTGGGAATGCTCTCGCCCCAAACTCGCTTAACTTCGAAGTTCCGATGGAACCAAAAGCCAATGAGTTCCCAAAGGACCTCATGCTAGATAGAGATGGGAATATACATATAAGGCTTACAAGATCCTCACCCCTGGGCAATGTGGGATGTTTCAATCCACCCCCTTAGGGGCCCAACGTCGTCGTCGGCACACTTCAGGCTAGGGATTGGCTCTAATACCAAATTGTTACATCCCGGCCTGGGCCCTCACCACATCCCGAGCTCGACTCCACCATAGCACGATATTGTCCGCTTTGGGCCCTGACCATGCCCTCATGGTTTTGTTTCTGGGAACTCACACGAGAACTTCCAGTGGGTCACCCATCATGCGAATGCTCTCGCCCGAAAATCACTTAACTTCGAAGTTCCGACGGAACCAGAAGCTAGTGAGTTCGTAAAAAAAAGGCCTTGTGTTAGGTAGAGATAGGAATATACATATAAGGCTTACATGATCTTCATCCCTAGGAGATGTGGGATGTTGGACCCACTGGGAAGTTCTCGTGTGAGTTCCCAGAAACAAAACCATGAGGGCGTGGTCAGGGCCCAAAGCGGACAATATCATGCTACGGCAGAATCGAGCCCACAATGTGGTGGGGGTCCAGACCGAGATGTGACAATTACATTGTGCAGAATCAGTGTATTGGGCATAATCAATGTATAACACTGGGCATAATCAGTATATTACATTGCGCAGAATCAATGTTTTACATTGTGCAAATCAGTTTATTACATGAATTTTTCTAACACCTTTCCTACTATTTGGGAATAATTAAAAAAAAAAAAAAAAGACTTAAGAAAGAGTAGAGCCCGGGGTGAGGCATGTTGGGGCCAACAACGATGTTGTGGCCAGTGTATATCTACTAACCATTGTAATCATTCATTGAGGAGAAGTTAATGAAGAAACCATTAATTAATTAAGTTTGCAACGTGGTTTCAAAGATGGTAATCGCCCACAAACTTAATTAAGCTAGAACCTCGAAGAATTTGGATTAAGCCAGTACTAAGAATTTGGAAAGTCGCACACAATCAAGTGTGGTTTTAGTTTAAACCGATTCATCTAACCATCGTAATTGGTTGATGAAAAACTTTTAAAATTCATTTTAAAATTCTAATTGAATATGTCCGTATTTGAAAATCTATTAATATCCTATCAAATCTTAATTTAACTACACCGTCCTAAAACTCACACTCTTCACCTCCACTCTCTCTCTCTCAAATCCTAAACGCCGTTTCTCTGCCGCAGTCTCTTCTTTTCCGCCGTCGTCTATACGCCAACACAACCACGACGTCATTTCAGCTTCCGATTTCATAGTATTTGCCGAGATTTTCACCGATCTTCGTGGGAAAGAAAGGAGATACTTCGCAAGAGAATTATTGAGGGAATATGACAATGTGGGCACCCTCTAAGTGAGAATGCCAATATCATCAGACCCTCAGCAACCCTAGAAACTCCGTCATGAAGATAGCACGCTACGATAAGGTTGTGAACATTCCCAACGGCATGACAGTGCTCGATGAGCTCCTACCGATCTCCATTGAGATGGCTCGGAGGAACTGCAGAGGAATATGGAATTTCACCAACCCAGGAGTCATAAGCCGCAACGAGACCCTAGAGATGTTCAGGGATTACATTGATCCAAAGTTCAAGTGGAAAGGAGCAACAATGAATTGGATGCTTCAAAGCTGAAGAAAGAGTTCCCCGAATTGCTTTCGATTAAAGATTCAGTCATAAAAATGTCTTTGATCGCAACAAGAAGACTTGAACCGCATTTGGTTGCGTTTGAGACTAGAGGTGTAGATTTCTTATATTTATTTGTTCATCTTCATATTTTTCTTTCATTTACTCGATATATTTTTTTCATATGCGAGAGCCATAGACTATTAAATCTTTCAAGTTTATGAAGAAAGGAGTTCAATTTAACTCGCTGTCTATTTTCTTATAGAACAATTGTTTGTCCATTTCACTTCAAACCGTTACCATTTCCCTCCTCTCTCAAACTAGCTACCCAAGATATAATATCTATCTTGAGTTATGCCCTCATGTGATTTGACTACATTTTTATGGGCGAATACACTTATTCTCTTTGTCCAAAAAAATTCCTACCTAGCAAATTAATGAAAACTGCACGTTTAGATATGCCCTGATGTGATTTAAGTACAGCACATATAATATTAGAAGGGAAAACCACTTATATATTATTGGTGGAGGACGGAGGCGTCCTAATTTCCTCTATTAATTAAGGGTGACACAAGGAAAAAAAAAGTCTTCAGGGCTGGATTTGTAGTATGGGTTGAGTGGTTCATTTGAGGCTCATGGGAATTTGGTACGCAATAGCAAGAAATAGAGAGAGTTTGGATGATAACCAAAAGAAAGAGAAATGAAGTTCCCAAATTGAAACCTTGCTCAGGACCACAAACACTGACAGTCGAAGATTGTGGAAAACCACCATCTTTGGAGAGATGGGGGCAGGCCACCATCTTTGGAGAGGTGGAGCAAAAATAGCCAGAAGGGAGGGGGACATGAGAGAGAGAGAGAGATGAGGAGAAAGGTGGGAGGAGAGAAGAGGTGGGGCTGCCGCCTAACCATCAGTCCTCTGGAGCTTTTTCTCTCTGGCTTTTTTGGATTTCATGCATTTGAGTGCTTTTAAATATGAGAAGCCATAAACTCCATTCTGGAAGTACTTATGTACTTAGTTTTTTTTAATTAATGTACATTTTAATCACATTCACTGAGGAACATGCCAATTTGATACGAGTTTGGTTCTTTTGGGGCTGGGGTTCAAAATATGGTTGTCCACTCCTTTCTTTTTACTTTTCATACTTCCTGCCTTTAGGCTGTGAGTTTAACTACTAATCTAATTTCAAAGCAGCATGTTAGACACTTGTAAGAAAGAAAGAAAAAAATTAATCTATCAAGCGCATATATACTCCTTTCATATAAATTTTTCTTGTATCAAACATAGGATAAAAATTTTACCCATTGTAAAAATACTATCAAATTTTGTTATATTATAAGTGTCATTTGTAATACGTTGGTTGCTTTTACACATTATTCTCTTTGTTTTCTAGAATCAGAACAAACCACTGTAATGACCACTAAGTGCGTTTCATTCTCAAATCCTACAATAATAAATTATCGAATTTTATGAGTGTTTGACACATTACATTCCATGTGTATATATTACAAATATTTCTTCCAATTATTCGAAGAGTCTAATTATTCCAAAAACAAAAGGAACAAAAGTTCATCAATCATCTTTGCGTCAATTGTCTATATAAAATTATGAAGTAATGAAAAATGACATCAACTCTCAAATCAACAAGAAGTTGGCTTTCCATTGTCTTTCAATATGTACAAGTGGCATGTATTTTACATATATTTGATCATGAACATTAGCTTTCTACAGCACCATGTGAAGCTCGGCATTAGAGAAAAGAAAGAATTGTACCAGGAGATAATGGATCGTGACAGAAGAGAAGACAACAAAATATTCCATCACCCAAACCAATTACCAACCATACAATAATACAGTGACAAAGCTGACTTGTTTAGGGGTTCCGAATGGCTGAACTCTCTTTTCAAGCACAAGTCTCTGCCCATGATATAAAAAATGAAATCATTTTACCAAATTCAATCTTCATTGGGATAGTGTTAAGTGAGCATATCTACTTTTTATACTATATCAAGGATGTCATTATGCACTCGAAAAACGTAAGATAGAAATTGAAGAGTGCTAATAACGAAATTAGGTATTAAATATCATTGTAATCAACTTAGTTACTTTTTTAAGTAGACTAAATTTTCTCCCTTGAGTGGACTAGGACTCAAAGGTTTGGTGCATAAGTGATTTTCTCTATTTCTTTTTTAGAAGGTATAAACAAACAATAGAGAGACTAACTACCCAATTTCTTTATAAATTAGTTAAAACCCAAATGTAAACACTTTTCCAATATCTCAAACAAATTCAAAGTTTTGTGTTAGGAATTGCTGATTAAATACGGTTTTCTACATGGGAGAAGTGACCTTCCTTCCATGCACATCAAATTTGTGACTCTCCTTATGATGTCAGGAGGTTTTCTGAGATAAAATGTCCATTTAGTATGAGAAGTTTGTAACTCAAAATAGTTAAAATCATTTATCCATGCCCTCGAGGTTCTAGGTTCAATTCTCTATTCCTAAATATCACTTGTATCAAAAATTCCACAACTAGGTCAAGAGAAATTTGATATTAATTAAGCTTGAGAAAGGAACCTTTTCATCATCATCACAAGATAAGTTTCAAACATGGGAGAAGCCACGTTGGCTCGAGCAATGTGCTCTTCCTTCTGCACTCAAGTTCAAATTTTTCTCAATTTTGGTTAAATTAGATTTAGATTTGAATAAAAACAAATCAATTATGTAAATAAAATCACACATGATAAACTTTATAGGCCCAATTTGGTCAAACACCAACATCACCGATATTGTTTCACCTTAACCACCTATTCTAGATGTTGGATTTTATCACAAAATGTCTCAGTGATATTAAGGGTGGGAATTCTCATATGTTAGTTGTATATTATTTTGTCATATGACCGATGTGG